ATTATTAGGAAATGATGAGTTGTGAGATCTTTGATTTTAATATCATTTGTTTAATTATGTTTGTATAATTGAATTGTTAATAGCGACTGTGTTTAACAACTGGCTTGCAAAATTCCTGAAATTTTAACAGTTGGCCTTCACAAGCCTGTAAGAGCTAGCTCCACAGCACCACTAGACCTCAGTTTTCTTATCTGCAAAATAGGGATAAGGATTGCTGCTCTGCTTCCTTGCAGGCATGTTGTGAAGATCAAGTAAGATCAAGCTTGTGTAGAGGAGGTGGGACTGGAGGCAGGGAGACCAGTTAGGAAACCATTGCAATTGTTCCATGAGAGATGTTGGGGGATGCAAAGGATGAGAAGGAAGGATCAGCGAGCAGAACTTAGCAACTTTAGTACCTGAGGGTGCATTGAGGAAAAGAGGGTTGAGGGTCTGCTATGAGTCCTGCAGCCAGAGAGCCCTTTTTAAAATGGAAATTTGTCCATAGCCTGTGATTACAATCCTTCATGGTTTCCCACTGTTCTTAGACTAAAGGCACAACTCCTTAAGGCGGCCAATGGGATCCTGTGTGATCTGACCTCTGTCTCTGGCCTCATCTCCCATTAAGCTCCACCTTGTTCTCTCTCCCCTGCAGTTCCACTAGCCCTGGGTCAGGCTCACAGGCATATGGCCATTGCATAAGCTGTTCTCTTTTCTTGAAAGGCTTTTTCCCTCTCTTTTTGCTTGGTAAACTCCTACTCATCCCTTAGATTGAATTCACTCCTCACTACCAGGGAAATCTCCCTGCGTGGGCACTTCCTCCTCACTGAGCTCCAAGACCACTTCTTTGTTGCACATATTGCATAGGTGTAACTTGTCATCTCTCCGTGGGGTTATTTGATTAAAGTCTGTCTTTCCTACTAAGCTGTAACCTCCAAGAGGGCAGGGGCTGCATTTGCTTTTTGCCCATCACACACCTTCCAGTGCCAAGGACTGTGTCTGGCCCTTGATACATAAATGTGGAAAGATGGTTCAACCTCACACCTTGTAAGAGGCTCCTGATACAAATTCATCTCTAATTCTGCATAACAGAATTAATATCCTTTCTTGCCCATGAAGAAACTGAAGCTCAGAGAGTTATTTACCTAAGGTCACACAGTTCAAAAAGATGCAGTGGGGGGCCGGCCCTGTGGCATAGCAGGTAAGTCCAGCACACTCCGCTTTGGCGGCTGGGGTTCACGGGTTTGGATCTCCAGCACGGACCCACACCACTCGTCAAGCCATATTGTGGCGGCAACCCACATACAAAATAGAGGAAGACTGGCACAAATGTTAGCTCAGGGCTAATCTTCCTCACCAAAAAAAAAAAAAAAAAGGTGCAGTGGAATTCAAAACTAGCTCTGTCTGACTCCAAAGATTTTATTCTCTACCCTTTCTCTCTCAGGTGTCACTCAGATTTCTGGAGAAAAGAAACGAAATTGCTATAGGATCACAGAACACCCGAGGCCTAAGAAGACCACCCAAGACCCCTGGCTGTCTCTGGAAAACTCTCTGGCCCCAGAACAGATTACTCCATGAATGCAAGGTGTATAGCTCGGCAGCGCCATCTGCTGTCCACCTACTTTCTCAGCCCGGGAGGAAGGCTGACTGTGTTCGCCTCGTGGGGTATCTCTACCTGCCCAGAGCACCCGGAGGCACAGGGGAACGCACGCAGGCTCTTTCTAAGGCAGGGCAAGGAATGCTGCCTTTCTCCATTTTCTTAAATGTCCAAGCCTGTAGCCGAGGTCCTGGAAAAAACATTTAAAATTAAGCTCCAAGCAAAGGAAGTGTACCTGACACCGGCTCAAGACAAGGTTGACATAACGGTAGCCATATTGTAGAAAAGAAAAACTCTGTTATAACTTTGAATGACCTCTGACAAACTAACCCAGCTGGATACGCACCCTCCAGAAGATCTAACTGCTCTGTAGATTTTACAATCCCTGCTTGTGTATGTACCTCCCAGCTGCAATAGGATGATAACTTCGTTTTTTTTTTTGAGTTCCTTAGGAATGTGATGACCCCCCGAACAGTGAGTCTATGCTGACAGCCATCATCAGTGAAAACTGAAAGATGTGGTGTGGCGCTCCCAGTCTGTAACACCAGAAGGTCAACATTCCTAACCCCCTCCCCAATAACCCAATGGCCTACATAACTGCTGTAAGATTTCGTGCCCCTTTAAGATGGTTCTTTTGGACATGAGTCGGCCATCTTCCCTCTTGCTAGCAAGCTATAATAAAAAGTCCATTTTCTCCTACCACCTTGCCTCTTGACTATTGGCATATCTAGCGGTGAGCAGAAGGCCCCACGTTGGGCGGTAACATACCTTTGTATGAGTTGTATTTGTGTTTGTTGAGCGGGCTGTGTCCACACATACCTCTTTCACTGAGGGCTATGTAAGTGGTCCCTGCAGTGGTAGGACCCTTTATTTAACAGGTGTGTGAAGAACAGCTCAGAGAATCTAAGCCAGTCCTGAGGTTCACTGAGTCATTCAGCAGTGGGCTATGCTTCAGGGGTACAGAGATGAGTGGGACAGGTGCAGTCCCGGCCCCTCTGGAGCTTGCTATATTGTTTGAGTCCCAATCATGCTGTTTCCTGGATGTACGACCAAGAGCAAATAATTAATCTTTGAACCTGTGTTTCATTTGTAAGAATAGGTCAATAATAATCCCCCCTGGATGGGGCTCTTGTGGGGATTAAATAAAAACTTACACTTAAATGCTAAAACAGGGCCGGCCCCGTGGCTTAGCAGTTAAGTGTGCGCACTCCGCTGCTGGCGGCCCGGGTTCGGATCCCGGGTACGCACCGACGCACCGCTTCTCCGGCCATGCTGAGGCCGTGTCCCACATACAGCAACTAGAAGGATGTGCAACTATGACATACAACTATCTACTGGGGCTTTGGGGGAAAAATAAATAAGTAAAATTATAAAAAAAAATTTATTAAATGCTAAAACACTATAAAAACATTAGTTGTTGTTGTTATGAAAAGCTTCTTGGGGGGAAAAAACAACTTACTATTTTGCCTTCACCTAGTGTGTTTTGTTGGCCCTCAACTAGCGGTAAGCAGTCATACCAAGAACGTGGAATGGGTCACTGGCTCCCCTCCATCCTCTCTCTGTTGGCACACAGAATTAGAGATGCCAAGGAGAGAGCCAGGGATGTGTAATACAGGTCTGACCCCAGTGACCACTCACTGGCTTTGCGGCCTTGAGAAGGTCACTTTGCTGATGTTCAGTTTTAGTTTTAGTTTCCTTCTCTATTAGAGGAAGGTCTGGGCTGGAAGCACTCCTAGTTCTGACATCATAGAGATTCTGCTGGGGGGGGGTGCCCTCCAGCCCCCTTCCCTTCCTCCCACCCCGTACATTCCCACTTAGGGTTCCAAAGCAAATTTGTTGTTTGCAGAGGCCACCTATAAAGCAAGGGAAGTTTTTAGCAACCATCACCCATCCCTTCCTACATACACTCAGTGATCTGGGACATCAAAGGTTTAAGATTGCATTGTGGGCGTGGGGTGAGAAAGAGGAAGCCAAGAGACAGCATGTGCAGGTGGGGCCAGATCGCTGGATGAGTGGGGAGTACATCAGCGGTGGAAAGGTGATGGAAGAGGGAGGGAGGGGAAGGCAGGAGCTTCATTCTGTGCTACCCGCAAGAAACCACACCCTTGAAGATACAAGGAGGCTGCCTCCGACAGTGCTTACTCTGGGCCCCCCAGTTACTGTGTCCAATGGAGGGAAGGATGTGAGGGGTAAGAAAACCGGGAAGAGCAGGAGAGGTTAGGCACAGGTTTCATGAAGAAAGGAAGTAGACAGAGCTTAGGATGACAAAATGAAGGTGGAAGAAGCGGGGGCAAAACTTTGCTCATCCTCTTCTCCCTGCCCCATGATCCCCCCTACCCATTGGCTGGGTTGTTAACTCTGTGGTGCAGGAGAAAGAAGGCTCCCCTGGGTGGGGAGGTGGAGACCTGGTGGAGGCAGAGGCTGCTGCTCTGTCATGAACAACAGTATGATCCTAGGGAAGTCTCTTCACCTCTCTGGGCCTTGATTTACTCCTCTGTAATGAGGCTTTATTAAGGTCACCGAGGTTGAAGAACTGGGTGTCAGTGGTGGTTTGATGGGGCAGTGTATGGGGGTCAGAGCTCTGGGTTTGAGTCTCAACTCAAAGGGAACAGCTGCATGGTCTTGGGTGAGTCTCTGAGCCTCAGTGTCTGCATCTGTGAAATGCGGTTAAGAATATTCACGACCCGTGGTCGTGGGAAAGATTCACTGATGCACGTGAAAAACACTTTATAAACTGTCAGTCTGTACAAAGATTGATTATGGTGATATTAAGCTGTCTTTCCCACTCTTGCCATTCCCATTCTCAAATTCCACTCGGCAGCACGGTGTCAGGGGGTACAGGCAGCCAGAGCAGATTGCCAGGAGATGCAGCTTGGCCCTTTATCATGCCCGTCGCAATTGCTGCCAGTAGGCTGAGTGGAGCAGAGGGGTGGAGAGAGGGGCATGGCTCATCTGCGGTTGCTATGGTGCCCCATCCTGGATTTGCCCATCTCTCCTAATGGAGCAAAGGGCAGAGGGAGGGAGGGAGGTAGAAAGAGAACGACTGGCCCCTTCCTCGCCCCTCCCATCTCTCTCTCTCTGGAGCAGATGTGAGGTAGGGAGTGAGGGGAGGGAGCCTAAATACTGGATAAGAGGGGGAGGGAAGAGTGGTATGCCAGGATTTAGAGGGTTTGCGATGGGGGGACACACTGAGAGAGAAGGGGGCAGAGCCCTCATGCCTACGTCCAGAAGCCAGCTGATGACGTTAGAGAGAAGAAAAAACAAGCGAGACAGTGCCAGCGTGAGAGAGAGAGAGGAAGACAGAAAGCGAGGATAGGAGGCGCAGAGGCAGGCAGCCCCAGACTGCGGCCAGCCTCTGCCCAGGCTCTCCTGCCGCCAAATCCCCCAGGTAGCCTGGACCTCAGGGTCCCTGAGAGCTGCCCCGAGGATGGGCACCAGGGCAGTGGTCATGCCGCCTCCTGTGTGGGGACTGCTGGGCTGCTGCTTCCTCTGTGGCTGGGTTCTGGGGGGTCAGCGGCCCCTCCGCTCTCTGCCCCCACTGTCCTTCCACCTCAAGCCAGGATCTGTACCCATGTGGGTGCCCCCAGAGGGAGCTGAGGCAGCCCTAGCTTTTCTCTACTCTGGAGATGCCCAACAGCTGTCGGGAGCTAATTGCAGTGAGCGCTATGAAGCCCATGGGGCAGGGGCCAGACCAGGGCTCCCCCCAATCCTGTGGAGGGCAGCAGGCACCCTCGCCCAGGCCGCCAATTTCCTCAACATGCTGCTACAAGCCAACGACATCCGCGAGTCCAGTGTGGAGGAGGATGTGGAGTGGTACCAGGCACTGGTCCGCAGCGTGGCCGAGGGGGACCCAAGGGCGTACAGGGCTTTGCTGATCTTTAACCCTCCACCAGAGGCCAGCCACCTGCAGCTGGCCTTGCAGGCCACCCGGATGGGGGAGGAGACCGTCCTTCAGGACTTGTCTGGGAACAGGGTGCAGGCGGAGAGCCCAGCTGGGGCCCTGGACACCCCTGTCCTGCGGAAGCGGGTGCTGACCAATGACCTAGGGAGCCTCGGCAGCCCCAAGTGGCCACGGGGAGATGGATATGTGGGGGACATACAGCACGTGAGGCTGTCTCCTCCCTTCCTGGAATGCCAGGAGGGTCGGCTCCGTCCAGGCTGGCTTATCACACTCTCCACCACCTTCTATGGACTCAAGCCGGACCTTAGCCCGGAGGTCAGGTAAGTGGGTTTGTGCAGGATTTGATGCATTTGTGGGTATACGGGGGTGGGGGCCCAAGTCCAGCCAGCTGTGCATGAGCAATTTGGCATGCATACATGTGTCTGGGGGGCACAGATGTATGTATTTGCATTCAGCTGTGTGTATTTGCAGTTGACTCTGGGAATCTGTAACTGTGTTTAACACGTACAGGTGTGAGTGTACGTACTGTGTCTGAATCAATCCATTTGCATGTAGGTATACACATATGTGGGTGTACAGATGTATGGGTGTAGCCAAGCATAGATCTTGGCCCCCAGGTCTGAGTGGTGGGTGTAAGAAGCAGGAGAGGGCCTGATGTGGATGACAGTGACAATCTAGGAACAAGGCATCTTGGAGGAGCCAGGCGGGCACTCTGGGAATTAAACCCGCTCACTGCTCTCTAGCAATCTAGAGCTGTAAAAGGAGGCTTCTCCAAGGAAAGGAAAATTCTTGGGGGGGGTTGGAACCATTGCCCTTTCTGTCCAGGAGTTGGCTGACTCCCCAGGGTCACTCCCAATGGCTATATTCTTACATCAAGTAGGTTCCACTGTCCTGCCTGTTCTGACCCAGGGGCCTGTGATACTCCTCAAATAAGTGACCCCCTCAACCAGAGTTAAGAGATGATTAAGAGCCCCAGTGGGAAGCAGGCAGCAAATCGGCATGGTACTGCAAGGCATTCAACAATCAACATTGTTTTCCAGCTATCTGTCCCCATTCATTGTCCCCAGCAAGGTTCCCCTCCTGCCGGCAGGAAGCCTGGTTCCTTGCCAGCTCTCTCCCCGTTCAGCCCAGAGCAGAGGCTGGGAACTCTTTGGGCCAGGCAGCTCTGGCTTTGGGATCCTCCATTCCATATCTCCTTTGCTGTGATCAATTCAGACCTGGTTTGGGCAGAGTGAGAGGGTGGTTAACAGCTGGGCTCTGTGTATGTGTGTTTGTGCGTGTATACATGCCATGGGGAAGTGTTAAAATCCCCTTCAGACACATCATCAGAGCCCCAGCTCCTACAGGTCTTGATATGCCCCCTCCCTCTACCCATTGATAGAAACCAGGAAATGATAGGATGTTGAAAGGGTGAGGGATGGGGGGACAATCAGGGGTGGAGGTTGTTGTCCATAGAGACAGTGAGGGCTAATAGCACTGGAAAAATGAATGCATGCGTGCCCTCTCTCCTGACACACTGCAGCCACTGTGCTAAAGTTTGCAAAGCTTGCATTTCCCCATAGTCTGGGGCCCAAGGACACGCGTCCACCTTGGTATCCTTCACTGTGCCCCTAACTGCCTATTCACTGCCCTAGGGGGCAGGTGCAGATGGACGTAGATCTTCAGAGCGTGGACATCAATCAGTGTGCCAGCGGCCCAGGCTGGTATGCTAACACGCACCTGTGTGATCTCAACAGCACCCAGGTAAGGATAAGGAGGATGGGGGGCACTAGGGTCCTGCCTCCCTCCCCCTTTCCCATCACTGCCACCACCCAGCTCCCAAGAGCAGCTGACAAAGGCACACCAGCCTCTCAGGGCATCAGTGGAGTCCCTAGTGATGAGATAAAGATGATATACCAGACTTTTTAAAAGTGAGGATACTCACAACCTACCCCCTACACTCTACCTGAGACAGCCCACCCTCATTCTTTTGAAATCTCAGCATGCTTCCCTGTCTGCTCTCCCTTCTGGTACTGCAGGCCCTAGGATCCCTCCCCAGGACCATCTCCTGAGCCTCTATTAATCAAACCCTTTCCTTCTCCTGGACCACATTCTCCTTGTCAACAGAGCTCCAGGCTCCTTCTGGCCCACGAAGGATGCTCTGTTGGCGTTTGTTGAAATAAGTGGAATTGCTGGTTGGGATGCAGGATGAATCTAACCAAAGAAGGGGCATGAAAGGCTCTGGGACTCAGGTAAAGGTGATGGAACCCAGGCCAGATGTCGGCAGAATCAAAGCCATGGGTGCGAGAGAATCTGGATAATGGAAAGCAATGGCTGGTAATCCTGTAAGCCCAATACTGGGAAACTGGGAGGCCAGTGAACTAATCCACTCCACAGTTCCACTGCTGCATGCTTATTCCTGAGCTGGACTGAAGCCAAGACGAGCCCTGCAGCCTGTTGGGAGGTGGGGCAGGTTTGGGCACCTGCTGCTCTTCAGGGTACATGTGTTTGGAGCTATAAGTCCAGGGATGGAGAAGGGCTTCCATTGTCCAGGGTGCTTTTATTTTATTTTTTATTTTATTTTTTTTGTGAGGAAGACCAGCCCTGAGCTAACATACAATGCCAATCCTCCTCTTTTTTGCTGAGGAAGACTGGCCCTGGGCTAACATCCGTGCCCATTTTCCTCTACTTTATATGGGACGCCGCCACAGCATGGCTTAACAAGCGGTGTGTTGGTGCACGCCCGGGATCCAAACTGGTGAACCCCGGGCCGCTGCAGTGGAGTGCGCGCACTTAACCGCTTGCGCCACCGGGCCGACCCCTCCAGAGTGCTTTTAAACTCAGCCACATGCACATCTCTGGGTACGCATTTGTCTGACTGTGCAGACTGTGCCAGGAACAGAGCGTGTTCATGGGCCAGGCAAGATAGGAAGCTGGGTCACAATTTCAGAAGCACCACTCTTTGGATATGCAATCTCCCAGAGTTAACCCCTTCCTCTGCCCAACCGCTGTCTGTTCCTGACCACTCCCTCCAGCAGATCTAGCCTCATCCATGTGCTCATTCTCCCTGCCTGACTCTGAGGTCTGCTCTGTCCCCTGCTGGGCAAACATCAATGGGCGGAGGTGGAATAAAAAGCTGGCCTTGGCATCCCACCAGCCTGGCATTAGGGCTGGAGAAAGCAGTCCTGTGCCAAAGCCAGATGGCCCCTAGCAGAGGAAGCTGCTCCTCTGTGGGGGCCTTTTCAACCCACCTGTGTGCCAGAGAGGGAGGCTGATGGGCACCCTTGGAAGCAGGACGTAGGCACACAGGTGTGACTGGGCTCAGAGTCCTCCCTACTTCCATCTCTCCCAGCACCTTGCTCTAGTGATAGCTGGGCACTGGGAAATGGGACCTGTGAGGCTCCTGTCCCTCTGCCGGTCTGAATAAAAGGGTAATCTATCCCCGTACTCTTTGCTTGGGGGTCTCTTTGAGGAGAGGTAGTGGTGGGGGGTAGAATAGGGTTTCCATAGAGGGGAGGCTTCCCTAGGACGAGGGAGGGCTTCTGGTGAGGTTCCCTAGCATGGACCCAGGTGCCATGGATATAAAGGTAGATGGACCCTCCATCTCTTCCCCGGAGGGAAAGCCCCATGTAAACACCTACCACGTTTGTCATTCCCACAGTGTGTCCCCCTGGAGAGTCAGGGCTTTGTCCTTGGCCGCTACCTCTGCCGCTGCCGACCTGGCTTCTACGGGGCAAGCCGCACTGGGGGTATGTAACTGTGGTGAGGGCCAGGCAGGTGTTTTAACCAGGCTGGGCCATCTGGGGAAGAAAGGCAGGCTGGGGTGAGACACCAGGAGGAAACTTGCGAGGCAAGGGCAGAGAGAGAGGTAGAGAGAACTAGGAGAGGCAGGCGGGATCCAGTTTGGAGGTGTCTACGCCTTCTGAGAATGAGCCCATAACATACCGATCTGACGCAAGTTGACCACATAATGAGCCCTAGCCTGGCATCACCTCTTCCTGTTACCCTGCCTTCCCTGGGGAGTACCCACTTCCTCATTCCTCCCCTTCCCAATCCCAGGGGTTAGGGACCATTGGAGGGCAGGGAGAAGGCTGGGATCTCAGGATGCCCCAGCCACGCCCCTCTCCCTGCACCCATCTTGTTCTTTATAGGGGTAGAGAAGAGTGCTGCCCAGCCTACCGGGCAATTCGGGTCCCCACAAGGCAGCTCCAGGAGGCTGCTGCGGTGCCAGCCATGTGCTGAGGGCTGCACTAGCTGCATGGATGCCACACCATGCCTGGTGGACGAGGCCCTGGTGCTGCGGGCAGCAGTGCTGGCCTGCCAGGCCTGCTGCATGCTGGCCATCTTCCTGAGCATGCTGGTTTCCTACCGCTGCCGCCGGAGCAAGGCAAGGAAGGCCCCACATCTCTCCCCTGCACACATGTCCTACCCAACTTGTGTCCCTAGCATCAACTGGAGACCAGAGACTACCTAAGACTAGAACTTTCCATGGGAGAAATGGGTTCTGGTCTTGATTCTTAATCTAACTCACTATGGGACATTAGGCAAGTGACCTCACCACCTTAGCCCTGTTTCCTCACCTGTTAAATGAAGGCACTGGACTTGATTCAAAACACTGTGTAGGCACTATGGGAAGGGATCTGGACCCTCATGGAGCTCCCAGTTGAATGGAGGAGGCAGACATGTAAATAAAATGACAGCACAGCAACAGGAGCGGGGATGGAGGTGAACCAGGCTTGAAGGTCAACCAGATGGTCACCAGGCAGAGAAGGGGGTATCTAGACAAGGGAGCAGTCTGACCCAAAGCTTGGAAAAATGCATGAGATCCCTTCTGGCTCCAGCAACCTCTGATCTGAGCCCAGGTCTGTAGCAAGGCCCAAGCAGGGATTTGGAGGGGCAGGAGCTGGGGTAGCACGGGCTGTGTGAAACCTTGGCCTTAGCCAGGCTCAGTGCCAGTGGAGCTGAGCCTGTGGTGGGAGTGGGGGCACGGCTGTGGATGGAGAGGATGGAGCTAATGTTACAGGGTGAAGCCTTAGCCCAGGGCCACTGAACGACCTCTGAAACAGGCCTGAGACCCTCCTGCCCTGTCCAGGCTCTGTCCTCCACTGCCCTGCTTACATGCCTCTCTCCTGGTTCACAGAGGATCCGGACATCTGGAGTTGTCCTGCTGGAAACCATCCTTTTTGGATCCCTGCTGCTCTACTTCCCTGTGAGTTTGTAGCCAGAAGCTGACCCTACCTCCCAAGTCCCAACCTGGCACCCTCCAAACCCCAGAATCCTTCTTCCTCTCTGCCCTCTTGGGGAGATTCAGAGACCTCCAAATCCCCTACTCATATCCACAAATGACAGGCTGGCCTAGTGAGCTCTGGAGCCACATAGTCCAGGCTTAAAAGAGCTCTATGACCTGCTGTGTGGCTTACGACAAGTTACCTAACCTCTCTGATACTTAAGCTACTCCTTTGCAAAATGGAGGTGATGATGCCTCTATTGCAAGGCTGTTAGAAGAGCAGCTCTTTTTGCCCCTCCCCACCAGGTCTTCATCCTCTACTTCAAGCCCAGTGTATTCCGCTGCATCGCTCTCCGCTGGGTCCGGCTGCTGGGTTTTGCCATTGTCTACGGGACCATTATACTCAAGCTTTATAGGTAGGGTCTGGGCAGACCTTGCTCTCATGCTGCTCACTCCAGGCCACCCCAGCTCATTTTTGGAATGGAGGTCTTCACAGCCAGACCCTTACCAGCTTCACTCCCCTGTGCCCCCAAGGCCTGCCCCCATCACTGTAGCCCTCTCCTCCATGTAACTGTGGAGGGTAGAGGCAGCGAACCATGGAAGGGATAGAACAGGTATGTGTGGAGGGGAGGGAAGTAATGGACAGAGGCCAGAGCCCCGGCCCCTCTCCTTGGTCCTCCCTCATCACCCCCGCATCCACACCCTTGTAGAGTGCTCCAGCTGTTTCTGTCTCGAACGGCTCAGCGGGGCCCCCACCTGAGCAGCGGGCAGCTGCTGCGGCGTCTGGGGCTGCTCCTGCTGCTAGTGCTGGGCTTCCTGGCTGTGTGGACGGCAGGGGTCCTGGAACGAGGCATCCAGCACACGTCCCTAGTGACCCGAGGCCACACTCCCACGGGCCGCCACTTCTACCTCTGCCACCACGACCGCTGGGACTACATCATGGTTGTGGGTAAGTTGCTTCCACTGAGGCCAGTCTCACTCTGGCCCCTGGCTCTGCACCTCCCAGGGTCCTCCTGTCCTGTCCTCTGGCCTTGTACTCGGACCCCTGGCCAGGCCCCCCTCAGCAAGCCCTACAGAGAAAGGGCAGCATGGCTGCTGAGGTGGTGCCCGGCTCTGTCCTCCGCTTCCCCACAGCCGAGATGCTGCTCCTGTGCTGGGGCAGCTTCCTCTGCTATGCCACCCGGGCTGTACCCTCGGCCTTTCATGAGCCGCGCTACATGGGCATCGCCCTGCACAACGAGCTGCTGCTCTCCGCTGCCTTCCACGCAGCCAGGTGAGGATGGGACCTCCTCCCCATGACTCCTCCCGCCCTAACATCACTCCTCACCTTTCCCAGGTGAGGGGACCTTCATCCCATGGCCATCCTTGCAACCCTGCCATGCCTCAGCAAGGTGAGGAAGGCCCACCGTCTGTAGCTCTCTCCCTACCCCACAGATACCATTCTTGCACCCCATGTCTCACCCAACACCCAAAAAGAGGAAGCATGCCCCACTCCTAATTCCTCTCCCATTCCTAAGCCACTTCTCTAGCACCCCCATCATGCTCCTTCCCACACATGCTCAATTCTCCCTGCCTTCTTCTCCCTCACACCTCAGCCATCCTAGCAACAGGCCTGCTGAGTGTCTACAAGGACCTGGCCCTGTGGTGGAGGCAGAATCAACCCACAGGGCGGTCCATAACAGAATTGTGGAGCATGAGTCTGTGCTATAGGCAGCCAGAGAAGGCGAGCTGGAGTAGTCTGGGAGGGCTTCTCGGAGGTGTGGGTTAACATTAGCCTTGAGGTAGGACCTACATCCTAGAGAGGGCAGGAAGAAGAAAGAGTGCCCTCTTCACCCGACCCAGCACCTCCATGGAGATCAGGGCTGGGGCTGGGGAGGTGAGCCAGTGAGACAAGGGAGGGGGAAGAGGCCACTCCCACCGGCAGCTAATGCTTCCCCTCCCACCCCACCCTCAGATTTGTGCTGGTTCCCTCCCTGCACCCAGACTGGACCCTCCTCCTCTTCTTCTTCCACACCCACAGCACAGTCACCACCACACTGGCTTTGATCTTCATCCCTAAGGTGAGGTCTTCCCCTCCTGGATGTGCGGCAGACCCCCAGTCCCTTTGTAAGAGGCACTGTGGATCTGCTGCCACCACAATGCTCTCTCCAGCTCAGAGTGAGGATGACACCCTGGGGTGAAGGGGTTCTGAGCAACCTGGGCACTAAGCCAGGAGCCACTTCGGGGAGGAAGCTACTATCGCTCTGCCTCCAATCCCTGAGCAAAGGAAATAAGAGCTAGGGCTGGAGCTGTCCTTGTAACGCAACTGGAAGGTTGGCGGGCTCTGAAAATAAACTCAGGAGCAGTTAGAGAGAGACAGATAGGGGAGCTGAAGGACAGGGCTAGGAATTGTGGGGCAGGGGGTTAGGACCCCCTGGTCTCCGAGCTAGAGAAAGTCAGGGAGGATGAGGAGCAAAACTCTTCAGACCCCCGGGATTGCAAATCAGAGGGGGGCTGAGGATTCACAAAGTGAAGGCGTGTTCCACGGGGCAGGGGGAGTAGGAGTGAGCAGGGAGCCCAGGTGACTCTTTCCAATCATGCCCACCTGGCCAGTTCTGGAAGCTGGGGGCTCCTCCCCGAGAGGAGATCGTGGATGAGGTGTATGAGGACGAGCTGGGCCTGCAGCGCTCAGGATCCTACCTCGGCAGCAGCATTGCCTCAGCCTGGAGTGAGCGCAGCCTGGACCCGGGAGACATTCGGGTAGGTGCCACCCTCCCTGCCTCTTTGCGACGCCGGCTTTTAGGGATGAGCAGGGAGCACTGCTGCCCTCCCTCCAGGGCTACGCGCCACTGCAGGTCCCCTGCCCTGCCCCTCGCTTTCCCTCTCTCCAAGACCTGCCTCCCTCCCTTCTCCACCATCGCCCTAAGCTGCTTGCCCTGACTCTATTTGAAGGAGGCCACACATCATCCAGGTACCTGAGTCCCAGGCCACTTGGCTAGTTAGAGTGGAGCTCTAATCCCCCATGTCCTCCACTCCCACTCAGCAGCAGCATAATGAAGGCAGACTAAGAAGCCCCACAGCCCCCAGCACACGGGGGCAGTGGGTGACCCTAGGGCCAGCTGTGAGGCTGGGTAGTTCAGGCAGTGAGTGGCTACCAGAGACTTCCACACCAGGATCCCCTTTCCCTGGACCTGGCAATCTTAGAGAAAGGAAGTTCTTCCCGAGTCTTACAGTAAGAGAGCATCCTTACTCTTATCTTTCTGCTTAGGGGTATCATTATAGTCAGGAGAACCCTAATGGGAGGCTCAGTGGGTGGGAAATAAGGAGACCTGGTGGTCTAAACCCATTGTTTGATAAAACCTAAGGTGTAGAAACAACCTCAGGAAGCCGTTTTGTCCATCCTCTCGACCTCCACTGGGGCCTCCCTCTACACCTGACTTGTCTACATCTCCCAATTCCCTCCTTGTCCCAACTGCCCCTACCTCTCTTTCCTGCTGTGTCCTCCTCATGCTCTGAGCTCTGCCCCCTGGGTATAGGCTGAACTGAGACCCCAAATCAGCAGGGAGGTCAGAGAGTGTGGAGGTGCATTGCCACAGCAACTGGCCCTCCACTTTGTGGAACACAGCCAGTCTATTCTCCCTATGCTGGCACTGGGGAGAAACCCAAAGTATGACTTTCAAAGCCCCATTCCATCATTTATACCTGCATATGGCACTTTTCACACCCACCAGTCCCATCAGTCTCATACAGTCCTCTTAAGGAAGCTACCTAACCAGGCAGCCAGTTATTGTTACTTTATAGAAGCAGAAGCTCAGAGAGTTCAAGGAAATAGCCTTGAGTCACGTGATGGGTCAGCAGCCTCAAACCCAGGTTTGCTGTCTCCCAAGCTGTTAATTTCCCACCAGACCACAGTGTCCCAGAGAAGGGAGCACATGCTGCATCCTCAGAGCTGAATGGGTCTGGCTTGGAACTAGGTTGGCGCTGGTCTTGTAGGAACGAAGAGATGAATTCTGAGAACTTTCAAGGCAGGGAAGAGACGCAGCTTGCTGGGAAAGAGATCCCCCAGAGAAAATGGTCTAAATAAGGGCTGAGGGGGAGAACAGCACAGCCAGGGGATGGAGAGAGCTTAGCCTGCCCATCTGAACCTCAGCTCTGCTCTCCTCACTCCTCCCCACCCTCAGGATGAGTTGAAGAAGCTCTATGCCCAGCTAGAGGTCCACAAGACCAAGGAAATGGCTGCTAACAACCCCCACCTGCCTAAGAAGCGGGGCAGCTGGCGCCAGGGCCTGGGCCGCTCCTTCATGAGGTACCTGGCCGAGTTCCCTGAGGTCCTGACCCGACAGCACTCCCGGGACTCGGGCTCCCTGGGCCGCAATAGCCTGCCCGGCTCCTCCCGCTGCCGGCTCCTCAGCTCCAGCCTCCAGGAACCCAAGGGGCCCCAGGCCCTGCGCAAGTCCTGCAGCACCTACGACCACGACCACTGCAGGGAGCAGGACCCGCCTCTCCTCGACTCCCTGCTGAGGAGGAAGCTGGCCAAGAAGGCCTCGCTAGCAGAGAGCCCTGAGTCAGTGGAGGGGCCCCCTGCCCTGGGCTTCAGGTCAGCCAGCGCTCACAACCTGATGGTGGGAGAGAGGCTCCCCAGAGCCCGGCCCGCCTCCCTGCAGAAGTCACTCAGCGTCGTGGCTGGCTCCAGGGAAAAGGCCCTGCTCGTGGCCAGCCAGGCCTACCTGGAGGAGACCTATCTGCAGGCGAAGGAGAGAGAGGAAAGAAAGAAGGCAGAGGCAGCCTTGGCGAGCCCCGTGCGGAGGCCATCAGCCAGGAGGCTGGAGCGAGCTCGAGGGGCCCCTCTGTCAGCACCCCCATCCCCTGCCAAGAGCAGCAGCATGGACACCTCCCACGCCTCCGGGAAGCTTCACGAGGAGGCTGCGAGAAGGCTGCCTCACCCACCCATTCGGCATCAGGTCTCCACACCCATCATGGCCCTGTCTGGGGCCTGCCGGGGAGAGCCAAGGATGCTGTCTCCCACCTCCACCTTGGCTCCAGTTCTGATGCCAGCTCCAGCCCCAGCCCTAGCCCCTGCCCTGGCACCAGTTCCAGTACCCCCCCAAAGCCCAAGCTTACTCACCTTTATCTGCCCCTGGGAGAATGCAGAACTGCCAGTCAAGAAAGAAAATGTGGCTCAGGAAGGCCCCTCGGGGCCAGAGCGAAGCAGCCACTCCCCTGCCCGGACCAGGCTCTGGCGGGCCCTCTCGGTTGCAGTAGAGAGAAGGGGGGCCGGGGAGAATGGGACGGACACAGAGGAGAGGCAACTCCGGGTGGAAGCTGAGGACGCGGATGAGGACAGGCCCAAGACCTCCCCTAAATCCCACAGCCTCAAGGCCCCTGTTCAGCAGGGCTCCACGCACAGTCTGGGACTGGCTATCAAAGCTCTGACCCGTTCTCGGAGCACCTACAGAGAGAAGGAGGGTGGGGAAGGGAGTCCTGAGAAGGAGAAGGGCAGAGCTTCAGGAGAGGGTGTGCGGGTATGCCCCAGATCTCCCAGACCAGGCCGGCCCAAGGTGGTGAGTAAGCAGGCCGCCCTTGCCCCCTATGATGATGAAGAGTCCCTCCAGAACCAACAGAATGCTCACACCAGCAGAATGCTCCAAGTCTGTCACCAGGAGGGCAGCAGGGAACAAGACACCAGAGGCAGGAGGGCATCGCAGGGCCTAGGGGAGGGGAAAGTTGAGAGAGCAGGTAAAGCAGGGCCTACCACACTAAGGCCAGTCAGGCAGGGCACAGCTGGGGACAGAAATGCTGAGCGAGCAAAAGAAGCCCCTGTGGGGCAACAGGAACTGCCCCAAGCGGGCCTTCAGCCCCTGAGCAGTGCCGACCGCAAGGTGGCAGAGGTATGCCCCTGGGAAGTCACCGAAGCAGAAGCGTGTCAGCCTGACAGTAGCAACAAGGCCGAAATCTGCCCCTGGGAGGTGAGTGAAGGAGCCCCTGAAAAGAGGACATTGAGACAAGATCTAGGTGATTCCCAAGAAGAGGCGGGGAAAGCCTCAGAAAAGGCAGAGCCCAAAGATGTGGCTGCTGTTGCTCGGAAAAAGCCAGAGAGGCTGGTCAGGGGGCAGGAGGCTGTGTGTCCCTGGGAGGGTGCCGATCCCGGTGGTCTGTCTCCTAGGTCAGACCCTCAGGACTCTGACAGAACCAAGGGAAAGTCTGAGACATCGGGCAGTGTGGAGGCTAGAGAGGTGGAGAAGCGACGGCGGGAAGCCACTGGCCCAGAAGCTTGTATACCCGACACAGCCAAGGCAGAGCCCTGTCCCTGGGAGGCAAGTGGAGGAGGCGAGAATGGGAAACCTTCCCAGGAGGGAGCAAAGAAGAAACAGGAAACTCCCAAGAAAGCAACCTTCTGGAAAGAACAGACCCTGGGTGGAGACTTGGAGTCTCTTTGTCCATGGGAGAGGACGGATTTCCGGGGCCCCACAGCAGTCTCCACTCAGGTCCCAGGAACCCCCGAGGGCTCAGGGAGTCTGGGCAGTAGCATCGTGGAGGTGTGTCCATGGGAGGCAGGAGATGCTCCTGTTATCAGGAGAGCAGAGCTCTGTCCCTGGGAGCTGTGTGATGAGGCAGTGGGGAAGGAAATGCTGAGTCAGGGGACAGGTGGAGAATCTCTCCAGGAACAGGGGAAAGCCTCCAGAACAGGGGGTTCTGGAGAGACGGGGGAACAAACTGGGAGAGCAGGGCAGAAACTTCTTCAACAGCAGGAGTCGGTGTGTCCCTGGGAGAGCACAGCCCCTGGGCACTCTAGCCCATGTCTAGACGATTCCTCATCCAGAGCTGGTGGCCAGCTCCTCAGCAATGGAGGAAGTAGGGCCATGCAGGTACGGGAAGACCTCAGGCCAGAGGTAAAGGATGTAACACCTGCCAAGGCAGAAATCTGTCCCTGGGAGGTGAATGAAAGAACAACAGAGGACTGGACATTGGGACAAGCACCAAAAGGAGGAGACTCTCAAAAGGACAAGGAGGAAATGCCTGGAACATCAGGAATCAAAGATGTCACCGCTTGGGAAAAGCCTGAGGGACAGATCCGAAAGCAGGAAGCAGTCTGTTCTTGGGAGAGTGTGGACCCTGTCAGCTTCCCCCCACAACCAGGTCCTCAAGACACAGAGAAACCCAAAGCCAGTTTTCAGATGTCAGGCAGTATGGGAAGCAAAATTGCCACGATCTGTCCATGGGACGTGGAGGAAACTCCGCCTGCCGAGAAGGCAGAGGTCTGTCCCTGGGAGGTGAGTGCTGGAGCAGCGGATGAAAGGGCTTTGGCAGGTGAGGCCATTAGGAAATTGCCAACCAATACAGGAAAGGCTTCTGCAGATTCTGGACCTGGCAAGATAGGTCTTACTACTCCAAAGAAGCCAGAGAGGCCAGGCCAGGAGCGGGAGGTGGCCTGTCCCTGGAAGAGCTTGGATCCAGGGGGCTCCTCTCAGCATTCAGACACCCTGGACACCGACAGACCAAAAGCTGGATTCCAGGAACTGGACCGTGTGGGGTACAGGCCAATTGAGGTGTGTCCCTGGGAAGTGGAGGAAGCGCCTATCAGTGAAAAAGCCAAGATCTGTCCCTGGGAGGGGAATGAAGGTGCTACTGGGAAGGGACTGGAACAAGAGATGGGGAGTGATTCACCAGGGCAGAGGGAGAAAATTCTAGAAAAGGGGAGACTCATCTCCCTAGAAGAAGACATATCAAAATCGGAGACAAAACAGAGGCACGAGCAGGAAGCTATTTTCCCTTGGGAGAAGGACTGGAGGGAACCCTCTGCTCAGGCCCCTGAGGTCTCAGACTTGTCCAGCAGCATGAGTAGCAAACTGGCAGAGGGGCATTCCTTGGAAGTGAGTGATGAGGCAGCAGAGAAAGAGGACCTGACACAAGACCCAAAGATGGGCTCGGTCCCAGAACACATAAACCAAGAAAAAGCTCCATCTTCGAAAGCAGGAGAATTCACTACTGAAGATGGGGAAAAAGCAAACGAGCTACAACCTATCTGTCCACAGGAGACCATGGCCCTGGCAGACTCTTTCTCCCACCCGGACAGTCAGTGCCCTGACCAACCTAAAGCAGGCTCTCAGGGGCCGGTCAGTTTTGGGGGCAGGCTCGCTGAAGGGTGCCCACGGGATGTTCCTGCCCTGGATGCTCAGAAACCTGAGAGAAGCACCAAAGCTGAGATCTGTCCCTGGGAGGTGACTGAAAGAATCCCTGAGGAAGGGGTGTCAAGACAGGATGGAAAAGGGGAAGCTCAAGAGAAGGAGGAGAAAGCCCCAGAAAAAACAGAGCCCAAAGTTGTGGCAGTTCAGGAAAAGCCAGTGAGGGCAGATGGGAAGCAGGAGGCTGTGTGTCTCTGGGAGAGTCAGCATTGTGGGGGTCTGTCTCCACAACCAGCCCCACAAGCTTCTGACAGAAGCAAAGGCAGTTCTGAGGCAGCAGGCAGTGTGGGGGCCAGGGTAGCAGAAGTGTGTCCGTGGGAAGCAGAAGAGGCGTCCTCTGCTAAGAAAGCAGAAATCTGCCCTTGGGAGGTGAGTAAAGGAGCAGCAGAGAACGGGGGACTGGAACAAGAGGTGGACAGAGAATCCCAAGGGCAAGGAGAGACGTTTCTTCAAAAGGCAGGATCTGGAGGGACTGAAGAACACTTTTCAAAAGCAGCAGCAAAAGTCAGCAGAGAGCAGGAGACAGTCTGCCCCTGGGAAGGCACAGGTTCAGGGGGGCTCTTCCCCCAGCCAGATGCTCCAGACACTGACCAACCCGCAGTCAGTCCCCATGGAGCAAGCAGTATGGGGAGCAGGATGGCAGAGCTGTGTCAGTGGGAAGTCACAGATCCAGAAGGAAATATAATAAAGGGCACCATGGCAGACATCTGTCCTTGGGAGGAAACTGGAGCCCCATCTGAGGTATCTGGCCTCCTGTCTTTAACAGCAACTTGGACAGAAATATCTTTCCCCACAGCTCCTGAGAACCCACCCTGCCTTTTAGTCCACAGACCTCTGAGTAGCTTCCTTCCAGAAAGCAAAAGCTCCCGCCCCAAGGTGAGCAAGCCAGCCAGTACTATTACTCTGGAAGGTGTCAGAGAGCTCCAAGGACCTTCAGGACTTGGGCCAAGGACCAGCTTAGCCCCAGAGCCAAGTCGCCAAGAAGCTGAGGATCAGAAGTTTTCCTCCTTAACTAAAGACCAAGGAGAAGTGGCTTTTAAAGCTCAACATGAAGAATTTGCCCCTCCAACTGTCTATCCTTGGGACTGGGAGTAACAACTCCATCAGGGTAGGTGACTAGCCTTCAGGAGCCATGGTCTTTTCTAAGGTTTTTCATAGGTTCTCAAAGAGCTGAATCAAAGACACTTGGCCACATCCCCTCTCCAAGAAGGCCAGAAGTCAACTCATTCCAAAGACAAATTATACAAGGGTGCAGCTCGGACCCCAACAGGAAGTCCCACCCTCTCTTTACTTTCAACTCTTCTTCCTGCTCCAGGGAACAAAGGCCAGATGCTCTGCTTCTAACGAATCCTCCCATCGAGCTAGAGTACTCAACACGAGCCATCTGGGTCTGGATAGTCACTCATAAAGCCAAGGTTAGGGATGACAGGACGTCAGCAGTGCCCAGCCCACATTTTCTGAGAGAGACCCCATTCTTCTCTGAAGGCTGCAGAGGCCATTTTCTGAGAAGAAACTAAGCCACACAAGACATTGGTTAACACAGGGACTGAGGATCACAGAAGGCTACAAAGGTCACCATAGGAAGCTTAAGAGAACTCATTCAAAGATAATCAGGCGGAAAAAATGGCTCAAAAGAGGTGCCTGAAATGTCTTAAAGACCTTGTCATTTTGACTTTGGATCTCCAATTTCTGCTTTATTGATCCTCACACCTGCCCTGCCTGACTGCTGAAGTAGGGCCAATCAAGCACTCTTACATCCTATCAACACCTGCCATCGGAAGCAGCATCCGAGACACAGCACAGAAGGAAAGGCAATCGCTCCAGGTCTTCCTTGCGCTGACCAAGGTGGAGTTCTCCCTTCCAGACACCCTGACCTCTGGTTTAAGGAGTATGTGTCTTGCCACCTTTTTCATATGGTCTCCCCTTCTTCCTGCCCCATCTTTTGCCAGTCTCGAGAGTTCTCATTCTCCTCCTACCCCTTCAAGTGCTGTCATCAACAGGATCCCACTCTGTTGACGATGCAGCTGGAGCCAGGGGGAATCTCTGATTCTGATGTGAGAACCACTCCAAATTACTTGTTCACAAGTAACAAGAGGCCCACATCAGTCTCCTTCCCAAGAAGCCCCAGAAAGAAAGAAGGTCCTGTTTACAGCCAGCACCACAACTGCCCTGAGAAACAGCAGTGCTCCGGGGCAGGTTAGAGGCCTGAGGGCCAGGAAAAGGGCATCGTGTACATACAAAGCCTTCTTTTTTAGGGAGCTCTCTCTCCTTCTTAGCTCTGCTCTGTTCTCTCAAGTCAGTTCAGGCTACCCTTGCTTCAGCGGTCCTAGATAACAGAGTACTGGAATCAGGTGATACTACCAGAGGGAAAGGAGGGAGGAGAAAACATTGGTCAAAGAAATCCCAAGATTGGCAGGGGTAGATGAAGGTGCAAACTGGCAGACTAAATGTGGCAGAGCTGGGCACGGGCACTGAAGATGGCAGTAAGCCCACCATCTAACTGGACAGATATCAATGCCATTCACGGGGAGGAAAAAGACAAAACAAGGAGACCAAATACCCAATGGGAAAAAAATGACTGCGCGTGTAAATACTCTGGGCAGCTACAGGGCTTCACAGAAAAAGTAGCAGAGTGCTCCATTTCCAAAAAAGGAGAAGGAATGGAGTAAACCACTCTTTCAGGGACCAGATGCCCTTGTTCCCCTTTCTAGGCCCTCCCACTTACCTAGGTCCCTTGCCGTGGGCTTTCAGAGCAGTAACTCAAGTGTGTTGTTCCTCTGGGCGCTTGCTAGTTAACCCCACAGCTGCTGAGCCAATGCAAATTTTGCTAACTGCACCTCAGAACAATTCCATTGGGTCTGGTCTAGCTGCGAACAGAAAAGTTGTCCCTGGGCTGGCCCCATGGCTTAGCAGTTAAGTGCCCACGCTCCGCTACTGGCAGCCCGGGTTTGGATCCCGGGTACGCACCGACGCACTGCTTCTCTGGCCATGTTGAGGCCACGTCCCACATACAGCAACTAGAAGGATGTGTAAGCTATGACGTACAACTATCTACTGGGGCTCTGGGGAAAAAAAAAAGGAGGAGGATTGGCAATAGATGTTAGCTCAGAGTCGGTCTTCCTCAGCAAAAAGAGGAGGATTAGCATGGATGTTAGCTCAGGGCTGATCTTCCTCACAAAAAAAAAAAAAAAAGAAAGAAAAGTTGTCCCTATATCCACTGTTGTGAAGTAAACTATGGAGAAAAAAATAAAGAATGCTTTTTTTTGACCATTGTAGTTGGTTCCAGCTTATTTATTATGTTGATTTCCTTTTCCCAATGTTTTTAAGCAGGAACAGTGCATAGGTAAGGAACGAACAATGCCTGCTTTAAAGACCAAGGTAGCGGGCCGGCCCTGTGGCTTGGTGGTTAAGTGCGCGCGCTGCAATGCTGGTGGCCCGGGTTCGGATCCCGGGTGCACATCGAGGCACCACTTCTCCGTCCATCCTGAGGCCGAGTCCCACATACAGCAACTAGAAGGATGTGCAGCTGTGACATACAACTATCTACTGGGGCTTTGGGGGGAATAAATAAAAAATCTTTAAAAAAAAAAAAAGACCAAGGTAGCTACACTGCAGACTTCAGGACCTCCGGTGGTGTGGCTGATTCTCTGCCAGTGCCCAGCTCTGTGGCTGGCGCTGCAGATGGTCTCTGCCTGGTCCTTCTAGCCAATCCTTTACATCTGGGCCATTTGCTCAGCTGGATTTGATCCCAAGGGGAATGAAACTGCACTTATCCTCTGGCCCCCTGGTGGCAGCTACTGCTTAGCTGCTATTTAGGATTATCTAGAGACCCCGGAGAGACAGACCTAAGAGGATGGGGTGAACCAGCTTCTTTGAAGCTCTGTTTTTACAGATTCAGGAAAATCAATGTATCCTTCGCCCACTAAGTGTGCTTTTTTTGTTCTCTTCTGCCCTCCCCTCCCTGGATTACCTCCCTTTATTCCTCATAGTTGTGGATCCTACTCAAAGCACTTCCCTTCTCATTTTGCCTTAATCTGGGGCTCAGGCAAATAGGATGTGACCAGACCTCACTTGGGCAGTAATGCTGCAAACTGATGTACATTTTAAGCTAAAAGGGTTGGGACTGGGCCGGCCCCGTGGCTTGGTGGTTAAGTGAGCGCGCTCCACTGCTGGCGACCCGGGTTCGGATCCCGGGCTCGCACCGACGCGCTGCTTCTCCGGCCATGCTGAGGCCGCGTCCCACATACAGCAACTAGCAGGATGTGCAGCTATGACACACAACTATCTACTGGGGCTTTGGGGGGAAAAATAAATAAATAAAATCTTTAAAAGGGTTGGGACTAAGTAGCATGATGAGAGTGGCTGCTTTGGATTAACCCACCAAAGCCGCCTCTTCCCCCAGCACACGTCTTGTTTCCAGTCAGCACTGCAAAAACATCAGTTTTACAGCTGCTGTGGAAACATCAGTTTTCCCCGGTAAGGCCTGGTCTGTTCCCTGCTTCTGAGATGGTAGCTTTAGAGACTGAGGAGTTAAGTTATTCTCGACCTGATTCCAGTTTCTTTGGGCTCTACTTTCGGGTCAAGGTCAGAACAGATTAATCCTCACCCTAAGTGACAGATTCCTTAAAAGAAAACTCCAGGCTTGAAAAATGGAAACTATGAGAATTAAGGTCCTGTTTTTTAAGGGAGCCCACACTGGGCTGATGAAAGCAATAGTACTATAAGCCAAGCTTGCTGCTGGTAGAGTGATTTCCCTTGTCACACCTCAGATGACCCAGGGCACAAGAGTATGTGAAGTCCCACATCCTCCCCAACAGCTCAGCTAGAGTTAAGGAACAAGGAGTGGCTGGGCTGTTTCACTCTACACAGGTTCGTGTTCTGGTACCTTTGCCTTCCCAGTGCTGGGCTGGAAAGAACAGTTACCATCTCCAAGAGGTGCTAGAAATCAGGAAACCAAGTCTTACAGATGATTTCGCAAATATATCAACTTCTCCACGGCCCCTGCCTCCCTCCTCGCCACCTTTCCTGGGATTATACCAGGAGGTAGCTGACAACTAAGAACACAATCCAAAGGCTGAGGGATAAACGATTTCTTTGGAGGTACATCCTTCTATGAAATACAAACGCTGATTCAGTGAGTCAGTGTATGAGAAAAGACCCACTTAAATGATACTATCTTTTATCAACACTAATTATTTTTCCCAAGTCTGGATTTCCTGGAAGTCACATCACTCACAATTCAGCTTGTCTTCCATTTCTGCCATCTGAAGGCTGGTGTGCTTCCAACCTGAACCAGAAATGTACAGAACCCACTACAATTTGTCCAACACCCTGATAGTGTTTTATTTCAAACTCTGATCGCTGCCCGGCGATTAGAAAGAAAATTCCGCCAATTTGCTCCTGACAGTCCTGCTATAGGAAAAACCGCTATCAGATGTTCTCTGTAACATACCGTCTTTCATCTACACTCAGAGGCTAGATATAAAATTTCTTCTAAAAGTGGGTCTATGGCTGTGCACAGCAGCCACCCACCTGGGCCCAGCCATCAGCTGTGGTTATTAAAGATGAGACTGCTGAAAAGACCCAAGCAGGACAGGAGAGAACAAAGGTAGTTCCTTCTACAGCGTGATGGAGATAGATGACTTTACAGCGCTCAGACTCCCAGACTTCACAGCTTCCAGCCACCTCATCACCCATGCTTCACCCCAGGAGTCATTTTTGCCATCAGGCTAGCTGAGGCTTATGGGCCTCTCCTTGTGGCTCTTCATAGTCTTCCCAGGGTTTCAGCTGGGGACCAGGGATCATCACGGTCTGAAAGAGCAGGAAGCTGAGTTATCTACCTCCAAGCCCACAGCTTACCCAAGAGAGATTCACACTTACCTCCATGCCCACCCCCCACAGGAGGCTTCCCCTTCCCTGGTGCTGCATCACCCTGTCTCTCCACTAGGTGGAGCCCAACAAGAGTGGCTTAGGATGCCATGAGCACTGCCTCAGCTCTCTTAAAGCACGCAAGCTGCCTTACCTTAAGGATGGGCTGCTTAGGGGGTGCCCATGGGGGGACAATCTTGCCATGCATTCTCCAGCTCCCATAGGGGTTTACCAGGTGCTTTTCAAAGACAACATACTCCAGGACATCCTTGGGCACATCTTCCTGTCCGTACATCAATCGGCCAAACCGGTCATAGATGGCCAGAGTCTGCAAGGATGACAGCAAATCTGGTTTGTTAGTCCACAGAGTTGTTCTGTTTTGTTTTGGTTTCTGTTTTTTGGCCACACGACCATTTTTGAAACAACCATAACAAAACATTTAAATGGGTAGAAAAAAATTATCTCAGAATTCTGAATCTAGACTAACGGATCAACTACTGACACTTCAGAGGTTTTTTGGGGAGCAGAAGGGGGAGGGGAAGGGAGTCAAGACCAGGAAGGGTAGAAGAGAACATCCTCGCACCTGTCTCAGTACAGCTAGCTTCTGGCAGTGAGAAGGGCACAGTGATAGACCAAGGAAGACATTGGGTTCCTTAGAACCCACAGTCCTAGGCAGCTGCAGCCAGGACTCCAGAGGTGGGTGCCCAGCCCGAGAGTAAAGAAAAACTGGGAGGGAAGCAGACTGGTGCCTCTACCTGCCGGGTGTGCATGCGGACAGTGATCTGGCCATACATGTTGCCCTGGTTCAGCAGATTTGAACAGCGAACCTGAACCACCTGAGGTGGCTCTAAAGATTCTACGAAGCTCCAGCGGACGGTCTTATATTTGATGTCCCAGACCATGTCCTGAAGGCAGAGGAGAACAAGTTCAAATGGGTTTTTCCCTCCCTTTAGGGAAGCTGCTGCTTCCTTCCACACCTGCTCTCACGCCTTCTAATACTACAGCCAACGTGCAACACTTCCCACAAAATGCTTTCTTGTGCTTCTTTTCTCTCTCACCATCCCAAGTTCTCGTTAAGCTATTACTCAAACCCACCTCCCAACAACTTGCCTTTTCATCTAAATCACAACTCAAGACCAAGCTACCTCCTGGAGGACCCTTCTCCAAATCAATGAAAACCACACTCCAAACTGCCGGCTTACCTAAGACACCATCCTCCCTCCCAGACACTTTCATAATCTGCTAATTATTGCATGTATTTCTGTTAACTGCACACATGTTGTCGTCCCCCCCCCGCCCCCCGCCTCACCTTCTAGCAGGGAAGGGTGGGATTTTACAGGGATAACAGACTACGCTAGCTATTCTTGTCCCTAGGGAGATGAGGCTGAATTGACAGAAACTGAAATTTCTGTCCTTGAACCACAAAGTCTCCATTCTTGAGCGTCCTCCCAAAGTACCTAGCACCTGTTACCACACAATGTAAGCCTTGTGAATGCTTGTTAAATCCTTTATTAAAGTGTAGGTGTGTGTAGGGCTGACCTAATGTAGCCCATACCCTGCCCCCAGGATCCGTACCCCAAGGTTTCAGTACTGCTTTCTGGGGACTTCCTCCTTCCTCATGTGCAGCCCTTACCAGAGTCCATGTCAAGTCATTATCATTCAGCCAAAAATAATGGAACTTAAGCTTTTGCGTTAAACTTCCTGTACTTTCAAAACTGATCCTTCTTAAGAAAACCAGGGGCAATGTCTAGAATCTGCCCATTCAAGCATCCCACAGTTCTGAGGAGGATGAGAACCTACCGGAAAACAGTTTTCAGTTACCAAGGTATGAAGCCGGTCATGGTCTGAGCTAAAAAAGAAAGAGATGTATGTCATTGACTCCTGCTTTTATGGTACCCTGTATGAAAATTGAAAATGGCCCTAGAAATGGAAGACAATTCAATTCATTTTTATACATGTTTTCTGCACACCTACTATAAGCGAGGTAATACGCTAAGTCCTGGAGACACAAATATGAAAATGATTTAAAAGAAAACCCTGAGATCTAACAGCAGTGTAAAGTTAAGTTTGAATCTCAGGAGCAGAAAGAAATTTCTCTGAAATTATCATACATCCTTAAGACGGGCAAGAGACCCTCCCTGGGACATGGGGATCGATCTTTGCTCTAGCTGCTATGGGGAATGAAACCCAAAACAAATAATCAGAAGCTCATCTTATCTCCTCTTACCTCAGACACATCATTAGTACAACTGTCTTGGCCTTGCATCGATACTCTTATCTATGAACTTAGCCAAAGGATAATCATCTGTCTTTTCTGGTACTTTGTTTCCACCCATCTTTGGTGCTGCCAGAGTGACCTAGTCATGCCAATTCTATGCAATAATAGTAAGAAAACAGACAGCAAACCCCAGTTCCTGTATATACAAGATTTTAGGAGGGTTCCTAACTGAGGAGTTTCAAATAAACCTAAGATCACAGATTAGTTTCTTTCAGATACACATTCTTAACTTTTCCCCACAGTTTAATACTTTCTGGGAAGTTTAAGTCTTTGTCCCTTTGTAAAATCTTGTCTCTAATCCCAGAGTGAATAAGGGATTAGATCTATCTGCTTCCCTCCCACCTCTATTCCTAACAGAAATTTCCCCCACTGTAGCTCGAGACTAGACTAGACTAGACTGAGTTGTGGTGACAGCTACACAACTACATGCCTGGCACCTCTGAATGAACCCTTCTTCTTCACTATCTCGGCCTAGAAATCTTCAGTAAAATAAATTCCCCTTTCTATGAGTTCACTTCCTATTCTGCAATAGAACTTACACTGAAAAATAAAAGGAAGTCATCTGCTTCTGGCAACATAATGGACTGAGCTAACGTGAAACTATGCCCACTATAAACATCTAAAAATGCTGGATAGAATATACTATCCATAGACACACACACATTTATAAATACTGTAATCTAGTTCACAAGAAAGATAAATCCCCAGATGCCAGAAAGGAAAGCGAACTAAAACCAGAATGGAAAGAATACAACCTGATCCCACGACACCATAAGGGATGATTAAGGGATCCAGAAATAGATCTGATGGCTAGGAGCTGACTCTTCCTAAAGCCTCGGACCCTCAAAGGGCAGGGAGTTGGAACTGAGATCCCTGCATAAAGCTACAACTCTCAAAAGAGTCCTGCACTTGTAGCAAAGGGAGACTAGAAAAACAGTCCACCAACCAAGAGATAAATCTTCTCTCTAGGGAAAAAAATAAAAACTAAAAAATTAAAGCCCTAAGCCCACATTACCCTCAGATGTAAAGGCAGAATTTATGGTACCTGTATAGTGTAAAAATTCCTAAGGTAAGAACTTAACATTAAAACTGATACCTGGGGGCCGGCCCCGTGGCTTAGCGGTTAAGTGCGCGCGCTCGGCTGCTGGCGGCCCGGGTTCGGATCCCGGGCGCACACCGACGCACCGCTTCTCCGGTCATGCTGAGGCCGCATCCCACATACAGCAACTAGAAGGATGTACAGCTATGACATACAGCTATCTACTGGGGCTTTGGGGGGAAAAATAAAAATAAAATAAAATAAAAATCTTTAAAACTGATACCTGGCCAATGATACGCCTGAGGTATCTGGAAGAAACATGCACAAAACCTCTCTGGGAGCATATTCATAACTTAAGTTGTTCAGAATTCCCTCAGAAGAAACAATCTCCACTGAAGATGAGCTTACAACTAAACATTATAAAACACACCTAGAATCTATCTAGCAAAAGGCAACAGACACAGACATGAAGCAAAATGAAAGAGCAGGAAGCTCTAGGGGTGAGTTCCTCCATCAAAACAACTGGTAAATTGGAAAAAAAAGACCAGAATCACTATTTCAGAACTCTAGATTCTGACTGGACACTTATAACAACCAAGGCGGTGCCTGATGAAGGAAGAGGTTACTGATCTTGAGTAGAAGAACAATCTGTGCAAATCACCTACCACTCCTTCCTTCAGCCCTGCCAAGACTGTGGGGATAGTGACCCATGTTCCTAAAGTGGATAGCTGGTGCTAGGTCAGGCAGTGGGGACCCTCCCCTCCAAAAATTTGGGGTTTCACATTTTGGTCACTCTGGTGGATTGCAGAGAGACCAGAGCAGATGATGCAATAGTTTTGGCCCTGTTGGTTGCAAGAGCTTCTCCCACCAACATCTATCAAAAGATTTAAAGGGACCAAGAAACAAGAACATCTCTTTTATTTTTATTCAGCCCAACACTAAAGGAAATCTTTGTGAGGTCACTGGCTGACTGCAGAGAGAATAGAATAGAAACTTCAATGATGACACACAACAAAGAATACACACTTAGCAATACTAGTTTATTATTTTTGCTGAGGAAAATTCGCCCTGAGCTAACATCTGTTGCCAATCTTCCTCTTTTTCTTTTTGCTTGAGGAAGATTAGCCCTGAGCTAACATCTGTGCCAATCTTCCTCTATTTTGTATGTGGGTCACTGCCACAGCATGGCTGACAGGTGGTGCAGGTCTGCACCCGGGATCCAAACCCGTGAATCCGGGCCACCAAAGCAGAGCACGTTGAATTTAACCACTAAGCCACGGGGCCGGCCCCTAGCAATATTAGTTTAGAATAGCCACAAATGAGGGGGCGGCCCAGTGGTGCAAGCGGTTAAGCGCGTGCGCTCCGCTGCGAAGGCCCAGGGTTCGCCAGTTCGGATCCCCGGTGTGCACCGACGCACTGCTTGTCAAGCCATGCTGTGGCGGTGTCCCATATAAAGTGGAGGAAGATGGGCACGGATGTCAGCCCAGGGCCAGTCTTCCTCAGCAAAAAAAGAGGAGGATTGGCAGATGCTAGCTCAGGGCCGATCTTCCTCAAAAAAAAAAAAAAAAAATCACAGTAGCCACAAATGGAATGCCAGCAGCACTGATGAGCAAAGTCAGCAATTCCTGAGGAGTACAGGAATCTGATTTTCAGAGTTATTACATTATAATACTTAGAAGGTCCAGTTCTCAACAAAAAATTACAAAGTATCCCAAGAAATACAAAAGTAAGGCCATTCACAGGAAAAAAAAATTTGACAGAAACCATCCCTGAGCAAGTCCAGACATTGAATTATTAGTCAAAGATGTTCAATCAACTGTCCTAAATATGCTCAATAAGATAAAAGGAAACCATAGACAAAGAACTAAAGGAAATCAGGAAACAATGTATAAACAAAATAAGAACATCAATAAAGAGAAATTATGAAAAGAAACCAAACAAATTCTAGAGCTGAAAAGTACAATAACTGAAATAAAAAATTCACTACAGGGGTTGAAGAGCAGATCTGAGCAAGCAGAATCAGCAGGATTTGCTGATCAGCAGGATCAGCAAACTTGAGGATGAGGCAATTAAAATTATCCAGTCTGAGGAGCAAAAAGAAAAAAGAATGAAGAAAAAAGAGCAGAGCCTGAAGGACCTGTGGGACACCATCAAATGTACCAAAACACATATCATAGGAGTCTCAGAAAGAGAAGAGAGAAAGGGGCAGAAAAAATATTCAAAGAAATAATGGCCAAAAACAGCACATATCTGATGAAAGACATGAATATTCACATCCAAGAAGTTCAACAAACTCCAAACAAGATAAACTCAAAGAAATCCACACTGAGACACATTACAGTCCAAGTGTTAAAACCCAAAGACAAAGAGAATCTCAAAAGCAGCAAGAGAGAAGTGACTCATCACATACAAGGGATTCTCAATAAGATTACAGTTGATTTTTTTTTTCCTGAGGAAGATTAGCCGAGCTAATCTGTTGCCAATCTTCCTCTTTTTTTGTTTGAGGAAGATTAGCCCTGAACTAACATCTGCACCAATCCGCCTCCACTCTATATGTGGGTCGCTGCCACAGGATGGCCGACAAGTGGTATAGGTCTGCGCCCAGGATCCAAACCCGTGGACCCGGGCCGCCAAAGCAGAGTGCACCAAACCCAACCACTATGCCCTAGGGTCAGTCCCTACGGTTGATTTTTTATCAGAAACCATGGAGGCCAGAAGGCAATGGGATGATATATTTAAAGTCCTGAAAGATAAAAAACTGTCAACCAAGAATTCTATAGATGGGAAAACTATCCTTTAAGAATGAAGGAGAAATTTAGACATTCCCAGATAAACAAAAACTGAGAGTTCATTAGCAGTAGATCTGCCCTACTAGAAATGCTAAGGGGAGTTTTTCAGACTGAAATGAAAGGACACTAGACAGTAACTCAAAGTCACAAGAAAAAATAAAGAACACTGGTAAAGGAAACTACATAGGTAAATATAAAAGCCAAATATATTGTACTTTTGCTTTGTAACTCCTCTTAATTTTTTTCCTATAGGATTTAAAAGGCAAATGCATAAAACAATAATTATAAATCTATGTTATGGGCACACAATGTATAAAGATGTAACTGTGACAATAACAATATAAAGGGGGAAAGACAGAGATATATAGGAGCAGAGTGTTTGTATACTATGAAACTAAGTTGATATTATTCCAACTAGGTTGTTATAAATTAAGATGTTAATTCTACTCTCCAAGGTAACCACTAAGAAAATAACTAAAAAATATATAGGAAAGGAAAGAAGGCAATCAGAATGGTACATTATAAAAAAAATCAACTAAATACAAAAAAGGCAGTAATGGAGGAACTGAAGACCAAGAAACATAAAAGATACACAGAAAATAAATAGCTAAATGGCAGAACTCCTTCTTATCAGTAATTACTTCACACGTAAATGCATTCAACTCTCCAAATAAAAGGCAGAAATTGGCAGATGGAGTAACAAAAACCTACAATCCATCCATATGTTGTTTACAAGAGACTCATTTTAGATAGAAAGACACAAAAAGATTGAAAGTAAAAAGATGGAAAAAGATATTCATGCAAATAGTAACCAAAAGACAGTTGGGACAGTGATATTATTGTTAGATAAAACAGACTTTACACGAAAAAGGTTACAAAAGACAAAGAAGGACACTATATACTGATAGAAGGTTCAATCCATCAAGAAGATATAACAATTATAAACACATACACACCTAAGACACAGCCCCAAAATGCATAAAGCAAAAACTGACAGAATTAAAGGGAGAAATAAACAGTTCTACAGTAATAGTTGGAGATTTCAATCCTCCACTTTCAATAATGGAGAGAACAACCAGATAGAAAATCCATAAGGAAAAAGAGAACGTATAACACCAATTAACAGACATATACAGAACACTGCATCCCACAACAACAGAATACACATTCCTTTCATGTGCACATGGAACATTCTCCAGGATGGACCATGGGTTAGGCCACAAAACAAGCCTGAATAAATTTTAAAAGATTGAAATCATGCAAAGTATCTTTTCTGATCACAACAGAATGAAATTAGAAATCAATAACAGAAGAAAAATTGTAAAATTCACCAATATGTGGAAAATAAACAGCACACTCTTAAATAATCAATGGATCAAAGAAGAAATCACAAGGGAAATTACAAAATACCTTGAGAAAAATGAAAATGAAAACACAACATACCAAAATTTACGGGATATAGCAAAAGCAGTGCTAATAGGAAAATTTACAGCTGCAAATGCGCACATTAACAAAGAAGAAAGGGGCTGGCCCCGTGGCTTAGCGGTTAAGTGCCCGCGCTCCACTACTGGTGACACTGGTTCGGATCCAGGTGCGCACCGATGCACCGCTTGTCCAGCCACGCTGAGGCGGCATCTCACATACAGCAACTAGAAGGATGTGCAACTATGACATACAACTATCTAGTGGGGCTTTGGGGAGAAAAAGGGAAAAAAAAGGAGGAGGACTGGCAATAGATGTTAGCTCAGGGCCAGTCTTCCTCAGCAAAAAGAGGAGGATTGGCATGGATGTTAGCTCAGGGCTGATCTCCCTCACCAAAAAAAATAAATAAATAAATAAAAGAAAAGAAAAGAAAAACAAGGAAGAAAGATCTCAAATTAATAACCTAACTGTACAATGTAAGGAACCAGAAAAAGAAGAACAAACTAAACCCAAAGCTAGCAGAAGGAAGGAAATAATAAGATTAGAGCAGAGAAAAACAAAACAGACAACATAAAAAAACAACAGAGAAAATCAATGAAACCAAAAGTTGTTTGGTTTTTTTTTTTTTTTGGTGAGGAAGACTGGCCCCAAGATAACAACTGTTGCCAATCTTCCTCTTTTTCCTTGAGGAAGATTGTCCCTAAGCTAACATCTGTGCCAATCTTCTTCTATTTTGTATGTGGGATGCCACCACAGCATGGCTTGATGAACAATGTGTGAATGGTTACATCTTTGATTTTTAAAAAATATCTATTTGGAAAAAAAAAAATGTAGGCATACAAAAAGACAAAAACTAACCAGGGGCCGGCCTGGTGGCGCAAGCGGTTAAGTGCCCACACTCTGCTGCGGCAGCCCGGGGTTCGCCAGTTCGGATCTCTGGGTGCGCACCAATGCACCGCTCGGCAAGCCATGCTGTGGCAGCATCCCATGTAAAGTGGAGGAAGATGAGGCACGGATGTTAGCCCAGGGCCAGTCTTCCTCAGCAAAAAGAGGAGGAATGGCAGATGTTAGCACAGGGCTGATCTTCCTCACAAAAAAAAAAAAAAAAAAACTAACCAAAAACAAAAGAAAAAAAAAAATAAGATAAAACAGATCTATTGAAGACATAGATTTTATCAGACACAGACTTTAAAATAGTGTAATTAGGGTCGGCCCTGTGGCTTGGTGGTTAAGTGCGCGCGCTGCGATGCTGGTGGCCCGGGTTCGGATCCCGGGTG